TTCACTTTTTGGAAAACTATTTACGCATCATTACAAAATGTACGTGGCACAAGGAATGGGCCGCTACACTTAGGCAGACACGCCCAGTGTTGGGTACTCTTCTAAGTCCTTTGTGCTTAATACCTCACTGAAACCTCAGGGTGGCCTTGCCAGGGGGGGTGCTACTTCCAGCATCACCCCGTTTTCAGATGTGGAAGCTGGGGCGCACAAAAGCGATGTGCCCCATGGAAGGTCACACAGCCAACTCAGGGAGGAGGCTAGGACTCAAACCCAGGTCTTGTCTCCAGAGATTGGACTATTGGCCACTGACCTGCTCTCTGTCTCTGCGGGACAACAGTACAAACTAGATCTTTTGTTCATCTACACATATATTTCCTTCTTCTTCTTCTTTTTTTTTTTTGATAACTCACATGGTAATGCACAAATGATAGCGTGTCTCCAGATCATTCAGGTATCTTGTTAAGTGCAGATTCTGAGGCAATAGGTCTGCAGTGGCACCTAAAAAATTCCCAGATGTTGATGCAGCTGGTCTCACTTTGAAAGACCCCTGCGCCACTTTCCACAGACTGGCGTTTGAAGGACAGGCGGAGCTTTGGAGCTTCAAGGCGATAGGCCAGTGTCCCACCGCGTTAGAGCTAGAATGGGCCGCCTCCGCACGACTTTGACCTTCGTCCCGAAGCGCCTCCGGGCGCACCGTGGCTCACCCCGAGAGCGGTCTTGGAGCGCCTCCTGGTGGGAAAATGGGGCACGGCAACTGGCTTCAGTGGATACACCTCCGCAAGCCCAGAAGTAGGGGGCGGAGCGTCCTGGGGCGGAGCCTGCACTGAGAAAGCCCTAGCCCTGCGGGCACTGTATTTTGGGGAACCCGGGATGGCGGAGAAGGGGTGTCGTTTTCTGTTTCCGGGCCTGACTTCTTCCTCCGGGCTTTTCTAGGACCTGATCACATCCCCGCGGTCCCGGGGCGCCCCCGTCCCCCTCTGAGATGGCAGAGGGCCCGGACAAGTTCGTCTTCGAGGCTCCTGCCGGGACGGGGGAGGGCACACCTCGCTTCTCTGCACGTGCCGGCTCCCGTTCGGACTCCAGTGACTCCGCGCGCTCGTTTCAACCCTGGCTCGCATCGAAACACTAGTTACGAGGAGTCTAATTAGACAGCCACCCCTTGAAGGCTGGTGACCTGTTTTGCAGATACTGTCTCCCCTAAACCCAGCACGGGAGCCTGGTACTCGAGGGGTCAGCGGTGACACGTGACTAATCCCCGAGCATCACGTCCTTAGCTCGGGGCTTCTGCACCGGCCGTTCCTGGCCCTGGGTGCGCTTCCCTCCGGTGTCCGCTGTCCAGCCCCTCACCTCCTTCGATGTTTCGCTCAAATGTCACCTTCTCAGTGAGGGCTCCCCCGCAAAGCCCTAAACAGTTGATGACTGCAAGCCCTCCGGCCCCACGCCCTCAGGCCCCCGCCCGCGGGCTTGTTCTCCCCGCGGTCACCGCGGGCTAAGGCAGGACCGTGCGCTTCTCTCCGAGCCTCGGTGCCTGCTCTCCGCCCCTCCCCCCGCCCACGTCCCTCCGCGACGGGCTGCCTGTGCCCGTCCTGCTTCCCGCTGCAGCCCAGCGCCCAGCGCCGCGCCTGGACGCATGTCCTGTAGGGCTCGAACGGGTCCCTCGGCCTCCCCTCGGGACACTGCCTTCTTCTCCCACCGGACGCGACCGCGCTCCACTCCGTCCTCCTGCGCGGCCTCGGCACGTCGGGGCCCCGCGGGGACACACCCGCCGCTGAAGGGCCCTGGGGCTGCTCGCGCCGCGCTTGCCGGCGGGACCTCCGGGCCTTTACGCGGCTGCTCCTGGGCCCCGAGGCGCCGCTCCGCGCGCCCCAGGCTCCCTCCCGCCGGGCCGGAGCGTCCCCGCACCTTCGTCGCCGGGCGCAGCTGGGTCGCGTTCGCCGAGCCCGCGCGGTCCCTGCGGCCCATCAGTCACTCGACAACTGCAAACAGCAGCCACCGGGTGAGGGCGCCGCGCGGGCGCCGCGCTGGTGCCGGGGACGCGGCGGGCACGGGACAGGCCACACTCCGGGCCCGGCCGGGAGCGGCCCCGCCCGACTCCGCCGCCGCAAACCCCTCGCTCACCCACCGCAACGCCGCAGCGCCGGGTGCCCGTCGGCCTCAGCCACGTCCCGACTCCTCCGGCCGCTGCGCCGCAGGCCCAGGGCCCGGGCGGCGGCGGGCAGCGGGAGGCGGGGGCCGCTGTCCGAAGGCTGCTGGGCGGCGGCGGCGGCCGTGGCGGCGACGTGAGCCGGGGGCTCCCGGTCCCTCCTCAGGCCAGTCGGCTCTGTTTGTGGAGCGTCCGCGGCCCAGCGACCGGGCTCCGGGCAGCAGTGCCCCTCTGTGAGCCCCCCACCTCGACAAACACGGCCAGTGCGCTGTTTAAAAATAACCAAAGGCACCAGGGGGCAATCAGAGTTCTGAAAAATGGGGTGGGGGTGGGCGGGAAGGGCGACGTTTTTAACCGGGCGGTCAGGGAAGCCTCCTGGGAGGTGACGTTTGAAGACAGGCCCACGTGAAGTGAAGGACAGACCCCTGCCAATGTCCTGGGAAGGGCGCTCCTGTGGCCTCTGGGTATATAGGGAGCCTTAAAGGGTTTGGGAAGGGGAGTGACTCCATTAGATATCGGCTAAGTCTTAATAGGACCCCCCCCCCCCGCCCCCGCTCCCGCCAGCCCTGTAACTACATCCGGGAATGGGACAGGGACCCAGGGCGGAGGGGAGGCCTCTGGTCTGCGGTCCAGGGCAGAGCCATGGAGGTCAAGCAGGGAGCGGGGACCTGGCCATAGAAGCTTACAGGACACAGGGCCGGGAGCAGGGTCCAGCTAAGCTCCAGCGTAGCGCCAATGCGGCTGAACTCAGAGCTGCGCTGAGTGGGGTCGGGTAGGGAGCGGGACTGGGTGCAGCTGGGAGCAGGCCGGGGTCGGGACCGGCACAGCAGGGCGGAGACTGGCCTGAGGGCTCGCGAATGGGGCGGAGACGCAGCCCAGGTTGTGGGGAGGGAGGAGGGATAAAGGCCGGGATGTGGGGTGGGGGCTGGCGCCAGGAAAGGGAGTCTGGTGGCAGAGACTTAAAGATGGTGGAAGACTGGGGCCTGGCAAGAGAGAGGGCAGGGGACAGCGGAGGTTGGCACTGAGGCCAGGAGCAGGGCCGGTAGAAGCTAAGGAGTGGCAGAACTTCAGTGGGTAGGTTAGGGCAGGGGGCTGGGTGGAGGCACAGCCACTGAAGCAGAAAGTCTGTGACAGCGCAGTCCCAGGGTGCTCTGCCGGAACGCCACCCGGGACGGCTGGGGCATCCGGGGCCCAACTTCTGGCACGCCCCTCCCCCACTGTCCAGCGCACAGAGAGACCAGGCCAGACACTTAATTCACTTTACTGAGGGATCCCGGGCGACAGTGCACAAGGAGAGGAGGGGCCTAAACGCTACAGGGAGAAGTTAGTTACACGCGGGGCCTCCCCAGCCCCGGCACCTCCCCTCCGGAAGCTGCTCAGCCCAGGCCCAGGCCCTGAGGCCCCTCACAGCCCAGGGAGCAGGGGCTTCCTCCCTGGCCACGCGCCCACCCTGACCTGATCGAAATAACCGTGTCTCCGTCCCAGGGAGGCCCCCGCTGTCCCCAAGGCTGCTGCCCCCAAGCAGCTCTGCAGTCTGCTTCTGCACCTGGGTGTCCCCAGTGGGGCTGGGACAGCCCGGGGGGCTGTGGGGACAGGCCCAGGCACCCGTGCCTTCCTCAGGACCTGCAGGGAGGGCCCCCTGACATGATGGGCTCGTCACGTGCTGGGGATGGGAACCGGGACACAGATACACGCAGCCCCGGGACCGGAGCACTTGGAGGGGCGTCCAGTGGAGATCGCTCCCGAGGGGAAACATAGGTGGGCAGAGGGGGCCCAAGCAGAGGTCACCACATGACATGACACGACACGAGAGCGTCAGCACTTGGGGCAGCAGGTGCTGGCTGTGCCAGCGCCAGGCCGGGTTACTGGCGGGGGAGGGGTGGCTGGAAGGCTGACTGCAGCGCCCTCTTGGGGCCATTTCCTCCCCTCTAAACACAGCACCCCGGTCAGCTCCTTCGCCGGTGGGACCAGCCCCCACCCCTCAGGTGCCCCCGCAGGGTCTCCTCTGGCGTTTAATTCACTCCGACGGTGAACTGGGAGAGCCTGTCATCCTGAGGGCTGCAAAGCCAGCACTGAGGGACTGCCCAGCCCCAGGGAGGGCGCAGGCAGGCGTGGGAGGACAGAGGAGAGCCGCATGCTTGGGTGAGGGGCGCTGCCGGGCACTGCAGGGCGAAGCCAAGGACCTGGATGTGGATTGCTCCAACTGAAAATGTTGGCAAAAACTTAAGATTCTTGGAAATCACTGTGCAGTCTGAGTGACAGATTCAGCCTATGGACTCCAGCAGGTGGCCCTGGCCTTGAGGAGCTAATTCATCTGTATCAGCCGCACCAGAGGTGGCCATGGCTGGTGCGACTTCCCTGTCCCCCCGCCCCTCGCCAGCTCCTGAAAACCGGCCCCCACCCCTCCCCCACCTCTTCTCTCTCTCCCCGTCCCCCCTTCCAGAGGAGCCACCCCTCTGCCTCAGGCCTCTCTTTCTGGAGTCATTTCCTCCTCCAGGCTGGGAGCTCAGCTTCACCCTGACACGCCCCGCTGGGCTAGTAGCCGAGCCTCCATCACAGACCCCAGGCACCATCAGACTGCTGGGGGCCTACAGACGCTGGCCCGGAGCGTGGGTCTGGAATCTTCGGGCCCCACGAAGAGCTGGAAAGAACTCACTCGCACCGCTGGCCTCCCCAGGTGCTTGCATCCACGGACACACTTACCCCCACCCCCAGGTAGCACGGGGGCCACCCAAAGCCACGCCCGCTCGGTACCCCTTGAGATACGGTCCCGTCACTTGGGGCTGCTGCCTCTGGGGGTGCCCGTTTCTCTCTCCTTCTTCCGTCAGGATCGCTCGCGCCACCTGCAAAGGAGGGACTGGAAGGTAAGGATGAGACCCGCAGCGCGCGCCTGGCGCGCGTCAGAGCACACAGCACACTGTGAAGCGGCAGACCGGCCTCTGCTGCAGGGAGAGCGGAGGGAGCGCGGAGGCGGAGGCCACATCGCCGGCCGCAGCCTCGCTGTCTCTGGGAGCCACTAGTGGCACTTGGGGGGCAGCCTCCCTCCCCTACGAGCCTTCTTCCCGCGGGCCGACTTGGAGCCGGTGGGCGCTTGCCCCCGGGCCTCGCCGGCCTTGGCGCGGGCCCCGGCGCCCGCACGCCCCTTCTTCTTCTTGTCGCCCGCCGCCTCCTCCTTAGCTTTCTTCTCGGGAGTGATGCCCCGCCCGCCCCGGCCTCGGCCTCCCCGTCGGGTTTTGCGGGACCCGGCGGAGGCGCCGGCCTGACCCAGGACCTTGGAAGCCGTGCGGGCTCGCTTGGCCCGGGGCTTCCTGGACGCCCGGTCCTCAGGCTCCGATTCCTCGCTGTCCGTGTCCTCGGATTCCTCCTCCGAGCCTCCGTCCGAAGCCCCCTCCGACTGCTCCTCCGACTCCCTGTCCCTCCGCGCCGCCAGAAGCGCCAGGACCTCCCCCAGGCCGCCCTTGTGGTACTTGCACTTCCCACCATCCCAGGCTTCTTCCTTTTCTTCCTTCATCACCTCGGCCATGTCCTGGGCAGCCAGGAGCGCCACCAGCTCCAGGAGGCCCACTTCGCCTTCCCCCTCGTCGCCCCAGCCTCCGAGAAGACCTCGAGGGGCCTTCTTCCCCTTGGGGAGGGCCTCCGGCTCGGCCAGGGCAGAAATGCATTCCAGAAGGTTCCCGTCGTCTGTGGCCTTCCTGAGGACCATGGCGTCCACCTGGCGTCCTGCCTCCTCCACCATCACGCGTGTTCCGGAAGTGTCCTTGGACATAACCGACAGGACCTCGGGAAGCGCATCTTTTTGGTCCTTCTTGTCGCTCCAGCCCAGCGACTCAATCACAGAAGCGATCTTCAACATCTCCTCCCGGGCGGAGGGGTCTGAGGGGTCTGTGTACGCTACAATGGCCACAAACTCAGGGCTGTCCCCCTCTTGGTCTTGGTCCCCCCTGTCCTGCCAGTCGCTGGCAGACGCGTCACTGTCTATGGGCTCCTCGTCAGAAGTATCTCGCACAGCAAGTAAGGCCACTAAGTCGGGGACCCCGCTCAGGTCTTCGATGTTCAAGCTGATTGACTCGGCCCCTGGGGTTTCTTTGTCCATCTCCTCCTTCTTCGCTTTGTCCGTCACTGTCACCAGAGCCAGGAACTCGCGGGGGCCGTCCCCGTCCTCTGCGTCGCCCTGGAGGGCCCACTTCTTCACGAGCTCCTTGGCGGCGGTCTGCAGCGTGGTGTACAGCGCTCTCTGGTCCTCGACCCCACTCAGGTCCTCCTCGTCTATCTCCTCGATCACGATGCCCAGGCTGTCGGAGGACGAGTCCTCGGACCCGCGCCGGGAGGAGGGGAACGGCCGCCCTCCTCGGCCTCTCTTCTTGCCCTTTTGGGTCAGCCTGTTGCCTCTGGCTCTACTCCTGCGGCTCCGACGGCCCCTCCTAGCCTTGCTGGCTGCACCAGGCGGGGGGCCCGCCAGCTCCAACCCCTGGGCCTCAGTCTCTGAGGTGGGCGGGGTGGGCGTGTCCTCAGGGGCCCTCTCGTCCAGCAGCAAGCGTTTCATCTGCCTCAGGACTCTTGTGTCCTCCGCGCGGTCCTTACACAGGACCCTCCAGACGCCGTCCTTGCCGGGGATCTCCCTGGGGATGGCGGAATGATCAATGTCCTCCACGAACTCCACCAGGGCGGCCTTGGCCTTCTCGTCCCTCATGGCCCTCGTGTTCCGCAGCCGGAACGTGCCCAGGGGCAGGAAGGCCGGCTGCAGGACGGCTTCGATGGCCGCCTGCTCCAGGCCCTCGGGGATGCCGGTGACCAGCAGGGCCCTGTGCACGTCCACGTCCAGCCCGCTGCACCAGTCCTGCAAAAGGCTCAAGGCCATGGTGCCGCTCGCTGGCGCCGATTGCGCAATGCAAATCCCACCCGGGAGCGGGGCCGCAGGGTTTGGAGTTCAGGTTCAGGTGAATGTGGCCGAGCTGAAGGCTCGGGGCTCGGGGCTCCGGCAGCCACTGGCCGGCTGACGCAGCGGCCTTTCCCCAAGGCCCCCTCCCCAGAGCTGTCGGACAATTCGCAGGGGGCTTACGCGTCAGGCCCGGGGATGCAGCCGGCCCCGCCGCTCAGCCCTTTTGTCCCAGGCCTGAGTGACGCAGCTCCCGGGCAGGTGCAGGGGAGGGTGGCGCTGTGGCACCGGGAGCAGTGCAGAGAGGGCAGCAGCCGGGGGCCGGCTCCCGCCGCGTCTAGGCGCGCACCCTCCTCTCCAACCTCAGCAGTTCCGCTGCGTCGCGGCTGCTCGGTCCTGCGCCTGCGCACACGGGCTCGCCCCTCCGAGAGCTCGGCCCGGTCTCCGTGGCAACACGGCTGTCTGCAGCTGGGTTCTGGGGACCCGCTCTTAAAGGGTCCGACTAAAGGAGGATGTGGGCGTTGGCAGCACCACCTTCAGCGATGAGCCCCCAACAGGACAAATTCACAGCAGTCGGAGGACATGGAGACCCAAACCAAGGGGCTCTGGCCTCGCTCCATGGGACCCAGACTCGCTCCTGGGTTCAGAGTTTACGGGTGTCAGTCAGTGGAAACAGGCTTCAGGAAGGGTACACGGGTCTCCTCTGTGAGGTCAGGCACCGTCGACGCACGTGCAATTAACCCCGGTTTTGTACACGGTGCGTCTAGGTGCAGGGTCATCCGTGAGGTCAGACATGAATTCTGCAAGAAAGCGTTTCCCGTGACGGGGCCCACCGACGGGGCCATGGAAATAAACACACCTTTGCTTCACCGCCCCTGGCTCTCCCCACCCCACCCCACATCAGTCAGGCGCTGTGGTCCAACTGTGGGGTTTCCGTCTCTGCCTCATCTCCCGCTATGACTCTGAGAAAGTTCTCGAGCTTCTCTAAACCTCAGTGTTCCTGTGAAAATGGCCATAGCCGCTAACCCTACCTCGAAGGTTCTTACGCGGATAGAGGGGAGGGTGCGTGAAAGCACTTGGAAGAGAGCTCGGCGCATAGCCGGTGCTCCCTCAAAGGTGGTTATGGAAATTATTGAGAATTTACCATTATATAAGCATTTGTTAGATAGATAGACAGATAACCAAACACTTCCAGCTTTTTTTCCCCCTGAAATGTAGAAAGAGATTATTGCAAGGTTACCATGGCAACTGGGCCACCGGGCAAACCAAACGGCTGCTCGCTCTTCTCCCAACCCCCCTGCAGTTCCTATTTCCCTGCTTTTCTCTTCTCCTTTCACCCTCCTGATCCCCAAATGGACGTTACCTTCTCTCTAGAGCACCGTTGTCCCACAGAAATGGGATGCTAGCCCCCACTGCAAGGCGCAGGCGCAATGTTGCATTTGCTGTGGCCGCCTTCGGTAAACAAACAGAAACGGGGGAAATAAAATTTAAGAATAGATGTCATTTATCCCCAATAGACAAAATATTCTCATTTGTGCTTGTCATAGGTATAAAACAATTAATGAGATAATGAACAAGCTGCTTTTTATAATGAGCCCTTTTGGAACAGCCATATTTGAGGGCTCAGCAGCCACACGTGGCCAATGGGGATTTATCCTAAGGAATTCGTTAGGGGAGTGTCTGTGTGTCGACATGTTCAGCACTATTGTGTTCAGCACTGTGTTGTTTATGACCCTGCCAGACTGGAAAACCCAATAACAACAACAACAACAACAACAACAAAAAGAAGCTGGCATTTTTCTGGTGTGGGTGACCACGGATGAGGCGCTGTGAAAAGACGCATATACCATATAATTCCTCCATCCAGAGCATGCAGTTCGATGGCTTTAGTATGTTCACAGAGTTGTGCAACCATCATCACAATCAATTTTAGCACATTTTCATCGCCCAAGAGAAAACGCGCACCCCTTTAGCCATCAGTCACTCTCCGGCCCCGCCCCCCACCCCACCCCCTCCCAGCCCCTGGCAACCACTAACCTCCTTTCTGACTCTGGATCTGCCTCTTCTGGAGATTTCATGTGAGTGGGATCCTGTGCTACGTGGCGAGTTTGTGTTAGGCTTCTCTCACAGGTATGGTGTTTTCAAGGTCCCTCCGCGCTGTGGCACGTGTCAGAGCTGCGTTCCTTTCTATGGCTGTATAGTGTTCCACTGTGGGACTCTACAGCATTTGCTGTGTCCACTCATCAGTGGACGGACGTCTGGGTGATTTGGCGTCTGCGAGCAGTGCTGCTGTCAGCAGTCGTGTCCGAGCGTCTGCGTGAATGCGTGTTTTCCTTTCTTGTGGGGAACACCTGGGGGGGGAGTTGCTGGGTCCCACGGGAGCCCTGCGGAACCATGTGGCGAAGGGAAGAGGCGCCCTTCACGAGAGTTGGCTCAGGGCAGAGGCCTTGTCCGACTTCCCACAGAGGTGCTGCGAGGCCACCTGGCGGCCCTGTGGTCTCACCAGCAGCTGCTTGTCTCTTCCTGCTTGTGTCCCCACTTTACCCTGAGACGTGACAATTCAGGAGGTGGCATGTGCGGGTGTTGGAACAATGCCCTTCCCTGAGTGTTACTGGGACTAAGGTTTCATTCTCCCTGGGTGACAGGGCAGTGTGACACTCTGGGCTGCCAATGATGGAGGGGACAGCCCAGGACAGCACCTGATACCTCCAGGCACAGAGGCAAGTCCCTCTCCCTGAAGCACATTGCAGGAGGTCCCCTAGAGAGCAGTTTGACCTCCTGGGGGCGGCTGGAAACATGACCTGGGCACCCCATGCATCCAGCGGGCTCCCAGGGAGGCCCAGAGGGGGGGGGCGCACCCAGGAGGGTCGTGAACCGTGAGTTGTTCCACACCCCCCACGACCCTGGGGAACCCCACCAGGCCTTCACGGCTGTGGGCAAAACAATCAGTTCACAATGATCGGAGCTCAGAACCTAACTCCACCTTACGTGCAAACACAAAGTCTCTTTTTAACATTTTTAAAGACATGTTTATTGATTTTAGAGAAAGAGGAAGAGAGAAATAGCCATGTAAGAGAGAAGCATCGATTGGTTGCCTCCCATATGCCGTCCCACCGAATATGGAACCCCCAACCCAAATATGTGCCCTGACCAAAATCAATCCCCCAAACTTTTGGCGCACGGGATGATGCTCCAACCAGCCGAGCCCACTGGCCAGGGCAGAGCATCTCCTTAAACATGGTTTTAATGGGCACTGCCTACGCCAGCTTTTACTCTAGGGCACCTGCCACACTTCCTGTGGAATCACATCCACCTCCCCTCTTCTTCTCTTAAGTCCCCATTTATTTATGAAGAACAGGTACAACAATCTGTCCTCTTGTTTGCGGCTGCTCCGACCCCCAGAGGTAACCCCCATTCCTTTCTCTCCTAGCGGGGTGGGTGTGAGCCAGAGCGGGTGGGGACCTGGTCCCCGCAGCTGAGTAGGGAATTAGAGGCTCAGAAACTCCTACAAGAAGGAGTCCGTGTGTCATGGCAGAGGTCCAGGGGCCCGCAGGAACTCCCAGGGACAAGCTCATTTTAATAATGCTACTTAGACTTTTTTTTGGTCTTTTTCGGTCTCATTCTCTCATGAGTGTTCAGTGGAGTTTTCCAGAGGCCACGTGGTCAGCGATTGCAACAGACTGAATGCAGAAGCGGGCACGGGGATCCAGCACCTTCTGTTGCGTCAGGCATGAAAGAGATTTGCAAACAAACAAACAAACAAACAAAAAACATAAAACAAGGCCACTCTTCTCAATTTGTTTGGTTTTGAAAAATATAGCTATTTAAGTATATATATTATTTGTGTGAACGTGTGACCTATCTGTTATGGCTATTTTTAAAGGGTTCATAAGTAAGTACTTTAAATTTCTCAGTTGAAATTCCTAATACAGCAAATATCGTCAGATTGAACCCACATAAATAAAAGCCCTTTAGGGTTCTTGATCATTTTTAATAATTTAAGAGGTCCTGCCCTGGCTAGTGTGGCTCAGTGGATTGAGTGCTGGCCTGAGAACCAAAGGGTTACAGGTTCAATCCCCAGTCAGGACACATGCCTGGGTTGCAGGCCAGGTCCCCAGTAGGGGGCATGTGAGAGGCAACCACACATTGATGCTCCTTTCCCTCTCTTTCTCCCTCCCTTCCCCTCTGTCTAAAATAAATAAATAAAATCTAAAATAATAATAATAATAATAATAATAATAATAATAATTTAAGAGGTCCTGAGACCAAGGAGTTGGAGAACCACTGTATTAGAGATCACACAATATTCCCCAGGGCTCCCAGTTAAAAAGATGGTTTGGATGGGGTCCTCCAGCGGGTAATAAATTTAATAGTGAGTGCACTGCGGACTGTCCGGGAGCTCGGACCTCCAGGGTTGAGGGCCGACAGCGGGAGCTCCACTTGGAGACGCCAGGCTGGAGGTCTGGGCCAAGCCGGCGGTGGCTGTCGGCGGTGGGTGTCGGTAAGGCGCCAGCAGACCAGGAGACTGGAAACGGCCTTCGAGGAGGGAGAGGCACTCCTCCCTCCCACCTGAAACAGGGTAGGGCCCTGGGTCTCGCCCTGGCATCTCCCTCCTGCTTCCCCCAGGTAACCCCATCCAACCTTCTACCTGGGTTCAGCCCCACCCCAGCCCTTACCGTTCACCTTCCACAGGACCTCCCAAGCTTCGCTTTGCCTCTTCCCTATTCTGAACTTCGCGTGACTCCCCATGTCCCTAGAGGGAAAGCGCAGGCTCCTCACCGGGGCCTACGAGGTCTTGCACACTGCGGTCCTGTCCTCCTCCCGGGTACCTTTCCAGCCTCAAAGGGCCGGCTCCGCTGTTCAGCTCGGCTCTGGAGCGTCTCCGGACACTGAACCACCCCCCCACCCCCGGGCTGTGAACCTCGGACAGGAAGGGCTGGATTGTCTCAGTCTTCGCTGGGTCTCTAGCTAGGTGGGAGCAGGTCCTGGGGGATGCGCGTGGCACTAAGAAAGGGAAAGAGGGGAGGGCGAGGAAAAGAAAGAGAGGAGGCTCTTCACAATTTAAACCTCTTGTCTTGTTCCATCTTCTTTCCCTGAGCTGTGTCTCCAAGTATCCACCAGAGGGCGCGCTGACCCAGCAAATCCCTAATGCAGTGCCTCAGCCGGCGCTGCTTAAGAAAACGAATTGTGATCATGAGGATGATTGACGTCAATTACCGCTACTTAACGCCCCACTGAGATGGTCCCGCCTTGTAGGAGCTGACTAGGCTCCTGTGTTT